GACATCATCAATTCACTGCTGGACCATTTGGAGTTCTCGATGTACATCGAAAAGCTGCCCAATTGCCAGCTGACGGGTCATGTGAAGCGCGTCGCGCCGCAATCCACGCTGCAGGTGAACGGCGAGCAGTTCGAAGTGCACAAAATAATTGGCAAGGGCGCCTATGGTTCCATATTTAGCGGCATTCACTGCAAGTCGGGCAAAAAGGTTGCCTTCAAACAGGAGAAACCCACCAATTACTGGGAGTACTATATCTGCCTGGAGGTGCACTCTCGTCTGAAAAATGATAACATGGTATTATCTACAAACTAGATATTTCCCATTTAGCGTCTAACTAAAGTTCTTTGTAGATTCCCGCCTATATGAACATTGATTATGCTCTGGTGGGCAACAACAGCAGCGTCTATATATCGGAGCTCTCGGATTATGGTTCGCTAATCACCGTCTGCAATAAGTACAAGAAGCATACTAGCAAAAATATGGACGAGCATGTTGTGATGCATCTGTGCTGTCAACTGTTGGATATTGTCGATCATCTGCATGCACTGGACATCATTCATGCGGACATCAAGGCGGATAATTTTCTGCTCATGCGACCGTAAGTACTGCCTGGTGTTTGTTAGAGCTGATCCTTCGTTTCTATTGATACATAATCATCACATTATCATCAAGGATTATGGCATCTTTAAGCCCTGAAACCTATTCGACAATCTTTATCTGAGTTATTTAGGAATTAATGTTTTGAATTTAAGCATGAAGGGTATCTTCTTGTCGGGCACACTCGATTGGAGCATTCTTATGTCGGATAGCAGTATGAAAGATTTAATGTATACCTAATGACAAGACGAGTCCAACCCAAAATTTAAATTGCTGCCGCTCACAAAATTGTTGCAGAGCGTGTCTTATAAAATAACAAATATATATAAGTATATTTATATATGTGTCAAAGCTGTTCCCAAACAGCTATAAAACCGCTTTACAGTAATATAATTTAGTATAGTCGTAGCCACTAAAATTTGTAACGGAGAGAGAATCGAATTTACAAATTGCTTTCCCCATTTCCCATTTTCCGTCTTCTGTTTACAGCTTGAGCGTGCAGGCAAATGAGCTTAGTGTGCAGTTGATTGACTTTGGTGTGGCGATTGACACCAAACTTTTTCCGCCCAATCAGACGTTCGACTATGTGCACAATGAGGATGCCTTCAAATGCATCGAGATGCGCACACAGCGCCGCTGGACATATCAATTGGATTTGTTCGGATTGGTTGGTGTGATGCATGTGCTGCTCTTTGGACGTTATATGGAGGTAGCACAACGACAGCCGGGCGGCATATGGATGCCAAAGACGGCATTTCCACGCTATTTCAGTCGCCAGACATGGGAGTCCATATTCCGTACGCTGCTCAATGTGCGCGACTGTCGCAGCATGCCGAATTTACAGCAGCTGCGTACGCTGCTAAAATCGGAGCTCGCCGAGAAGGAGAAATATGTGGAGGCGGCCATAACCAAGTTTAATATGATAATGCAAAGGAACGGATAGGTGTATGCTGCCGGCGTTGCTTTTATATCTACAACTACATATATATGTTTAAATTTTAGTTTAATTATTAAAAATGTAATTAAAATATGTTCGTTTTTTTTTTGTCAGCTTTTGGAACTTTCATGCACAACATTGCCATATTATTCGCATACTAATATTTTTTGGCATTTTTGAAAATGTTGCCATATATATTGTAAAAACTGCTCAAAAATACCACAAGAATTGTGTTAATCCTTTAATACTAGAATAGGGCGCGTCTGGTAGATTTGTTTTGTGTTTAATAAATATATTTATTTGCTAAGCGTATATACTTTTGCAATAATTGAAAGATCCTTTAAATAACCACAATTGAACGCTTTGTGCCGTTAGAGTCGCGGTTGTTTTACAATTTTGCGCATATAAACAAAATAATTTCAACCCAATTAAGTGGTTTTACATAAATTTTACAATGCGGCAGCGTACCGAGCATTAACTGAAGCGCAGCCGAACCAACGTATCCGCCCCTGTCGGCTGCCTTGCTCTTCCCCTACCGACTGACCACCTACTCAATTCGAGTGCAATGCAATTTTTGGTTGAATCAAATAATTTTGGTTATAGCACTGGCGTTTTGTGGATGTGGAACTGGCGCCATTTGCATTTTACAGGCATTCGTCGTTTCAGCCAGTATATAAACGCATACATGCATATATATTTGGACACTAACCGCTGCCATATACGTTTCCGGCAATGTTGGAGCTGTTGTCGTTGTCGTCGTTGCGTGCGCGTCGCAATTGGGCCTGTGGTCATGTGTTGTGTGCATATGCACAGCATATAAATCAAAGTCAAAACAGCTAGACATGATTCACAAATGATCAAAACAGACGAGCGACGGTCTGGCAACGCCGCCAGCCGCCCGCAATCCGCCGCCCCAACGCCCCCGTCAAACGAACAACCAGCCAAGCGCCGCCATATGAAAGTCTTATAAATCAACTCCTGGGTGTTGTTGTGTTTGCACGGTGGCTGCTGTTAGCCAAGGCCAGAACAATTGCATGCGGTTGACTTTTTGACTGCAACTGCTAAGTTAGCACAAAATTTTTGCGTGTTGCGCGTTGGCACTGCGAGTAGTTTGTCAAAAATTTTGATTAGGCAAACCAGAATTCTGCGAGGCCGTTGCGTATACGTATGCATGTATGTGTGTGTGGAAGGAAAGCTACCTAATACATGTGTGTGTGTGCACCAGGGTTGCCAGCCGGTTTTATACTGAGCCGTGCTTTTTTTTTTGTAGACCTGCGGCCATTATTATTGTATGGTTAGGTATCAGGGCTGCCAGCTGGTTTTTACTGATCCAGTTGGAAGCTGGGTTTTTTGTGGCTTGCAGCTCTGATTTTAGGATTAGGCGATAAAATATTATATATATGCATATTCATATATGGTGCATATAGATTTTCGGGCAAATTTAAAGCAGCTGCTGCTCTAAGTCTGCCTTGGAGTTTTATTTACCAAGCAATTGTTGTGGTTTTATTTGCACACACAGACACACACTAATGCAGCCTGGGTCTCACATGGACATACATGATTTATGCAAATTGAAAATGACCTTAGACCCTGACACACACACACACACACACACACGTATACAGACACGCTGGCATGAACACTGTCCATTTACCATGTCATGCCTGTTGTACATGCATGAGCACATACATACACATGCATATACCCTATATGTGCGTTTTTCGGCTCCTGTTGACTTGATTGTGGCAGCTGCTTGCCGCTCAGCTGCTGCTCGGACCACATCCCCATCCACATGCACATCCACATCTACAGCTTCCACAGCCATTTGCAGTTGCACAGCTTAGCAGCCGGGCCAGTAAACCCCTTAAGAATGGCCGGTTTGGAAGGGGCGGGGTGGGGGTGGGGGGGTAGTGTATGTGTGTGTGTGGGGTTCTATAGTCGCCATCATGCATTTTGCATCATCAAGCATTTTTGCGCCATTATTTCATGAAATTCACATTTATTTTGCAGCTGCTCTGGGCTAAAAGCGCGCCCCTTGCCCAACAACATGAAAAACTCAACATTGGCCATATGTATTTTTGCCTGTTCAATGTTTTGTGTTATATGGCTTTTAAGAAGAAAAATACGAGAGATTAGAGAACTTGCTTTGTTGGCGAGTTCAACATCCATATATGTACACATATTGCTTGTTTTGGCCGCCTCTCAAAGTGCTTAGATTTAACGGAGTTTTCCTACGAGAAATGCGAATTTAGAAAATAAAATGGATTAAAAAATATGGGCACTTTGTGGGTGCTGTCTATGAATAATAATTGCTGTAGCTCTAAAAATATTATCGCAGCTTAAGAAATATTCCCTTAATTAGCAACTGGCTATGAGAATTGTAACAATATATATTGTATATTGAATTATAGAATAGAACAACGAAATTTACTCTGCTCCTATTATATTATAAAAATCAACCTTGGTTGAAAGCAGAGCTTTGGGATTGTGTAAGGCTTATCTGTTAGGGTATTTAAGCTTCGGCAACCATTCAATCCAAATCTTTTCAACATTGGATTTCAATATCCTAGGTCCTATAGGGAGAATCGGCTGAATACAGAGTATCAGGGTTATGTAGGGTATATCTGGCTTGATATGTACCTAATATACTTAATCTGTGAGGGCATTTAAGCTTCGGCAGCCCGTTTACAAAATTGGACTATTTCATCATATTGTTATAGGGAAAATAGATTCTTGGGGTTATATAAAGCATGTCTGAGAGGGTGTTCAAGTTTCGGCAACCCTTTTCTCTAAATGCTTCGGCTTTTTTTTATATATATAAAATATATATGCTCATTGCTTGAATTTTTCAACATTTTTTGTAGATTCACTTTCGATAATTTGAAATCCATATAGTATCTATGGAGAGAACCAGTTGGAAACAGAGCTATATTAGAGAGTAAGGGTATTTAAGCTTCGGCAAACCGTTTCTATAAATGTTCCGGCTTTTAATATTATTGTTGCAAATTTAAAAATTTTTTGTAGATTCACTTTCGATAATTTGCAATTATTACCTAACAAGAGATGCTATCAAACTTATTTGCCATACTGCAAGTCACTAAAAATAATCATATGCTAGGGTTAAATGCTATACTATATAATATCGTAAAGTAGTAAAATGCAATGGCTTGTAATAAGTCGTCAGGCCTATAGCTATGCAGGCAGGGCAATTAAATGCCGGTGCGGTTATCGTTCGCTTAATCAGTGGCATGATAAAACATATATTAAGGAACACAACGGCTGTGAACCGAGTCAGTACGTCTAATTGCACTAATAAATGTCTAGCACTTGTAGTTTTTATGGAATTCCATACTAACATATATCCGAGGCGGAGCATTCAAAAATGCGCCAGACGTATTTCAGTTATTGACACGCGTGGACGCTTCGTGTTTTGTCGACTGTCTCTGGCTGTAAACGGGTAGCCAGTTTTTTTTTTATTTCTCTATATATATATATATATGTGTGTTCATGTATAAAACAATAAAATATATAATCGCGTAGCGTGTAACACACATTTGTCTAAATGAGCGTGGCCGTTGAAAATGCAGGTGAATATCTTTGCGTGTGCCTAAAGGATTTGGTTAGGTCAAGTGTAAAGAATCACAAAAGATTGTGCCCTTTCAAATGCAATTTTAAGTGCTCTACATGCCACATTAAGAACGTATTTTATTATTTATATAACAAATAATGCTCAAATGAAATAAATTTGTATTTAATGTGCGTAAAAAGTGTGATGAAAGCAAATATAAATTAAATGTGTGTCATTTAAAACAGTGCATATTTCATGTATAATTCAAAATTGACTTGTTAAAGTGTGTCACGAATGAATATGCTAGTTAATAACTAAATTTAATGGCTGTCTAGTCTGTATTAGAATAATCTAAGCTAGTTAGAAAGAAAATGTTATTAAGTGTTGTTTTTCTTCAAAGTGAAAGACAACGCCCTCAAATTGGCCTTATCGATTCTTAATCATAATAATACTCAAAACTTGAATAAAAATAAATTAAATAAACATATTCTCAGCTTAACAAATGCCATCAGCAAAGTAAACTAAAATATTTTTGTTCTCACGATTATATATGGAACAACAAGTTCTTCATTTACGCTAGATATTTTCTTAATATTGTTTTCATAAGTGTTTATCATTAATTGCAGTGCTGTTCAACTTATTGCCGTAGATTTTCCAATTGATTTGAGACCCACTAAAAATGGTTAAAAATGTTAATGCCCCACAAACTAGTCGAGCTGGCCTAATTAAAACCAGCTCGATATCAGTATACAAATTGGTTTTGCATGTACTTCCAACTGCAGCATAATAAACAAGCAAAAGGTGTTTAAGTCAGGAGGAAAGCTCGACTAGGGGATACCCTGTAACTTCTTCTATCAACAACAAATGCTATTCTAGAAGCTACAAATATTTAATGAAATTATTGTGCAACATTCCAGAGAAAGGTCAAATAGTTAGAAAGATGAATAGTATCTTATATCTTTAGAAGATTTTCAACAGAACATATCGAAACAATATGACAATATTATTTGAATTAAAAATGGGTATAAGGGTATATTGTATTTGTGAAAAATCCAAATGTATGTAACAGGCAGAAGGAAGCATCTCCGACCCCATAAAGTATATACATATATTCTTGATCAGCATCAATAGCCGAGTCGATCTAGCCATGTCCGTCTGTCTGTCTGACCGTATGTATGAACGCAGGGATCTCAGGATCTCTATAAGAGCTAGAGACTTGAAATGTTAGATGTAGGTGCTCCTAGTGCCTGCGCAGATCGAGCTTGTTTCCGATAATCGATAACTTAATCCGTTTCCAAGCAATCGATAAAAATCGATATCGATATCCTGCTTTTTGGGCAATTTTGGTAAATAATAAGAGCTAGAGTCACAAAACTTGGCATATAGCTTCTAAAATAGAATATATATATGCATTTGATGTTGGAAGAAGAATGGGGAGCTCCCGACTAGAACCTCTTGTTATTATTTGAATAATTACATTTGAATATTTGTTGTACATTTGACTTTGTTGACTTTGAAAACAAAGCTGTGCTCATAATATTATATTTATACTATAAAGCCCAACATAACCTACCCCAATCTCTTCCGTCTTGCGGTCTTGAGTATTATTAATAAACTTGTCAATTCTCGTCTGTAAGGCCCATTTATTGGCATACGACATCTGCAGGCAGCGCTGCTCTTCTTTGCGATTGTCGTCAATTACATAGCCCGGCTCAATGTCAGCGTGGCCGTTGTGGCCATGACGGATGCCGCGACCTCCAATCCAGACTTTCCGGTATTTAAAACATGACTTTAATTAACATTCTAGTGAAGTTCGCTAAACTCATGTCTGCTTGCAGGAATACAACTGGTCGGAGGCGCAGAGATCCTACATACTGTCCAGCTTTTATTGGGGCTACATAATTACCCAGTTTCCGGCTGGGTTTCTGGTGCGTCGCTTTGGCGCCAAGCTGGTGCTCTTTATACCCACCTGCGCCACGGCCGTGCTGAGCGCACTGACGCCCTACTGCATCGGCTGGGGCGGCTGGGTAGCATTTAGTGTGCTGCGCATTGTGATGGGGCTGTTCCAGGGCCTAATTTTTCCGTGCATACACGAGCATCTGGCCAAATGGTCACCGCCCAAGGATCGGAATCGTTTAGGCGTGTTTGCCTACTCCGGCGCCGATTGTGGCTCCGTTCTGGCCATGGCTATTAGTGGCCTGATTGCCAACAGCTCGCTGGGCTGGCCGGGCATATCGTATGTCTCGGCCGGACTGTGCGGTATCTGGTGTATTCTCTGGCTGCTGCTGGGTGCCAACAATGCGCCCAGCTCTCGTTTCGTGGGACTCGATGAGCGTTTGTATATCGAACGTTCGATGAAGCGCAATGATGGCTTCCATGACCAGAAGATACCAATACCGTGGCTTGCGATTTGGACCTCGGTACCCTTCTATGCTCTGCTGATAGTTCGCAGCGCCCAGGGCTGGGCGAACTCCACAATGCAGCTGCAGACGCCGGCCTATATGCATGGCGTACTCGAGATGGATATCAAGAGCAATGCCTTGTTCTCAGCGCTGCCGTTCCTGGCCATGTGGTGCATGTCCTATGTCTATCTGGTGTTTGCCGATATCGCCATGTCCCGCCAATGGATGTCGCTGACCACGCTGCGCAAGTCCATCAATACGATATCCTATTGGGGTCCGGCTGCGGCGCTGATTGGCATCGGTTTCCTTGACAAAAGCCAAACGGGCCTGGCCATTGCGCTGATGACAATTAATGCGGGCCTCAATGCCGGCTCCGGCATTGGCAGCATTCTAACCATCATCGACATGTCGCCCAATCATTCCGGCATGCTAATGGCAATCGTCAACGGCGTGGGCAACATTTTTCCGCTGCTAACGCCGCTGCTGGTGGGCGTCATTGTCACCGACCCCGTAAGTCGAGCCAATACATGCCGCCGGACAACTATTGTTAACGCCTTTTGTTTTGGTTAAATCTCCTGTTGCAGGGTTCGCGCAGTCAGTGGCAAATCGTGTTCGCCTTGACGGCCATTGTCTTCTTCTTTGGCAACTTGGTGTACATCATTTGGGGCACCACCGACCAGCAGCCCTGGGATGCGGTCGATTTCCTTGGGCCGCGCGATGCCGAGCACCAGCCGCAGTCGCAGCTGTCGCTGGAGCAGGCGAAAAGCAAGTTGAAAAGCGATAAGGATATCTAAGTTTAGATTAACTTCGATATCAAGCAGAAGATAAGCTATGAACTTAAACTAAGTTGAAAACTAAGCAACAAATTAATATGCCGCGTGGCACGCGGCGTATGCGCAATACATACATTACGTATACGTAGCAATATATAGAAGAAATATATATATATATATATTTGGCATGGACCAAAACTTGTCTTGGCCGCAAAATGTGGTTAAGCGTTGATTAAACCGAATTGTAGTCACTTTTGCGGACAACAGCGTTGATTTTTAATTAAAAATTCTTTAAACGTTTTTGCCAGCATTTTAATTTCTTGTTTGCGCGCATTTTTCTAGCGTCTTCCAATTCTGCTGCTGCTGCTGCTGCTGCCGCCGCTTGGGCTACCGCAAAATGTAATAGAAAATTCTTACTACTATTTCTGCTTTGAATGAATTCATTTTCTATTTTTGGTATTTTGAGCCACACGCATTTGCATGGCCAGCAGACTTTCAGTCACTCAATGCCAAAAGTAATGCAAAAAAAAAAGGAGAAAAAATGAAAGAAATTCCAAAAAAACTAAAGAAAGGAAAACCCGAAACTTTGCACACAAATCAGAAAAATGGACACTTGGCGGAATTTATGCACGAACGCGTGCGCACAGTACGTTTCTGCGTCCGGCAATTGTTTGCCAGCAGCCATTGGACATGGCCAAAAGCAGCAACAGCAGCACCAGCCCCAACAAGGCCAAGCCGCAGCGCCAGACCCCAGCGGCTTACAGCCAGCGTGCGGCAAGTGGCATGTGGCGGCTGTTTTCCCCTTTTTTTTTTTGCTTCCCGAACTTAAAAAACATACCGAAACCGAAACGAAACCAAAACGAACATGTTTTTCAATTAAAAACGTTGAGCGGCGCACAGAAATTCATTTGAATTGCCCACAGCGGACAGCCAAAGACAACTCATAAATGACCACTTCCATTCACGCACACACACACACACACACACACACATACACATTTACATGCACGTTTACACTAGTCAGCCAGAAATACAAAAACAGCAAACGAATTTGTTCTGAGAGAAAGCAGGTGTCGCAGTTCAAACCCTTCATCTATACATGGGTTCTATATTTTATATTCTATATTCTATATTCTATATTCTATATTCTATATTCTATATTCTATATTCTATATTCTATATTCTATATTCTATATTCTATATTCTATATTCTATATTCTATATTCTATATTCTATATTCTATATTCTATATTCTATATTCTATATTCTATATTCTATATTCTATATTCTATATTCTATATTCTATATTCTATATTCTATATTCTATATTCTATATTCTATATTCTATATTCTATATTCTATATTCTATATTCTATATTCTATATTCTATATTCTATATTCTATATTCTATATTCTATATTCTATATTCTATATTCTATATTCTATATTCTATATTCTATATTCTATATTCTATATTCTATATTCTATATTCTATATTCTATATTCTATATTCTATATTCTATATTCTATATTCTATATTCTATATTCTATATTCTATATTCTATATTCTATATATTCTATATTCTATATTCTATATTCTATATTCTATATTCTATATTCTATATTCTATATTCTATATTCTATATTCTATATTCTATATTCTATATTCTATATTCTATATTCTATATTCTATATTCTATATTCTATGTTCTATATTCTATGTTCTATATTCTATGTTCTATATTCTATATTCTATATTCTATATTCTATATTCTATATTCTATATTCTATATTCTATATTCTATATTCTATATTCTATATTCTATATTCTATATTCTATATTCTATATTCTATATTCTATATTCTATATTCTATATTCTATATTCTATATTCTATATTCTATATTCTATATTCTATATTCTATATTCTATATTCTATATTCTATATTCTATATTCTATATTCTATATTCTATATTCTATATTCTATATTCTATATTCTATATTCTATATTCTATATTCTATATTCTATATTCTATATTCTATATTCTATATTCTATATTCTATATTCTATATTCTATATTCTATATTCTATATTCTATATTCTATATTCTATATTCTATATTCTATATTCTATATTCCATATTCTATATTCTATATTCTATATTCTATGTTCTATATTCTATGTTCTGCGATTCTTAGCAAATTCTAAGTTACATCAATATTAAAACTTAAAATTAATTATATCTTTTATTCAATTAAATACCAAGATAATTTAAATGTTGAAATACGAATTAAAGCCATATAAACAGTTAAAATCCACAAGCCTGTCGTGTGCACAGTCAACAGATATTTAATACACATATTTCGGTAAATAGTTTTTGGCAAATAATTGCGAACCGAATGCATTCAATGGATATTTTCGAAATGAGTTGCAATTCATATTAATGAGATGACCGCAAGAGCTGCAATTGGGACTTTGGTTGATTTGGGGCCAAGAAGGAAGGGTCAAAGTGACTGTGGCTAGCAAATTGTTAGTTGATTATCAACATAATTATTTGCATTTGCAAAGTCTATTTGCACATGTGCGAAAGTCAAGTTGCCACAAACTGAGGCAGCATTGCCAAATGGTGGTCCATATTGATGCTAGTAATTTGATATACTCGTCGCAATTATGAGTATTCGCACTCGCACTTGTAATCGCTCTGCCACTCGTATTTGAGTTACTATTATAAAGTGAGACATGCATTTCAGCAGGGCGTAAATTTGCAAATTATAATTGAGGCAACATCAGCAGCTGCTGCAGCAGCAACAATGGACGAAAACAGCACCGAAGATGGTTTTATTGTCTGTTTGCCAGGGGTCAGATTCGGTTGCAGAGCCAGCTTCGAGATGATCGCGTGACGCGACACGAACTTCACATTGTAATGTATCAAATATTTCTGAATGCAATAGGAACTTTCAGAAATTTGAATTATTTAATCATAATTAATAAAGTATTATTTTACATAACATTATGAATTTACTATTATTATAATTATTTTTATCAGTGTAATTACTATAATTATTATTATGCTTATTATTAATATTTTAATTATTATTATTATTTTAATTTTAATTTTTGTTAATATTATTATGGTCATTTTTATTTTTATTAATATAATTATTATTATTATTATTATTATTATTATTATTATTATAATTACATATAATTATATTTTTGATTTTTATTATCATCATTCTTATTATTATTGTCATCATTATTTACATTAGTTTTTTTTTATTATTATTATAATTTATATTATTGTTATTATAATTATATTATTATTTTTCTAATTATTATTATTATCGTTATTTATAATGTTAATAATATTTTCATTATTATTATAATTATATTATAATATAATAAAAAATTGATGTTCAAATTATTTTTGATACTTATTCGATACTTTTTTATAGTGTCGCTCGTGTTTGTGACACGACACGCGCAGAGCTCAACGTCAGCATCAGATCAGGGCCTCATCAGTGTTGAAACTGCCACAGGGACACACTCTCAAATACACACACTCTGACACACACACGCACACACATCAAGTAAAGCAAGTGCCGTCAAGCACAGCAATTGCTGGAAATTTAATTTATGCCCGGCGCTTTCAATTGAAGTACGGCCCGTCGAGCAACAATAGCTGGAAATTAACAGGCACAAAAGCGACCGGGCGCTGCCCGGCCTGATCTCTTGTTGTGGCTCTTGTTGCGCTGTTGCATAGGTCGAGACATTTACACTCTGGTGCTGCTGTTGCAGCTCGGCTCCGGCTTTGGCTCCGGGCTCTAGTCAATGGCATGCGTTGTCCAATGGCCGGCAAATAAGTATGCCGCTGTTTTCCTTTCTTTCACGTTTTGGGCGCTTAATTAATATTGCATAAGCGCAGGCGCTGGCTCTGGACAAGGACTTGCGGCAGCTGTTGTCCTTTGCCGCTTGCGCTGGCCATAATTATGAGTACGCGACACGCCGCACGTTACACACCCCTCTCTCTCTCTCCCTCTCTCCCTCTCCGCACACATGAGCGAATTAATGCAGTGCGTTTCTTTTGTGTGTGTGCTCTTCAATATTTATGATGTACCCATGATTGATGACATTTTTTGCACTTCAGTGCAATCGGCATATTTTTATGCAAATGCCAATGGTCGGCGGTAAATTGTGGTCTATTGTGCAAATACGTTTGCAGCGTCTTCTGCTTACAAGTGCTTCAATGCGGCATCGTTATCAAGAGTTGAAGACTTTCAATGTGCTTAAGCGACAGTTACTAGTCTTCAGTTTGATGTATAGATATTGGACTTTTTGTATTTATTAGTGAATAGCAAATGCATATAAAACTGGGGAAATGCGGCTGTATAAGGTTCGCGTTAGTGATATGAAGCTACGCATACTCAAAAGTACTCATGATTTATGTGATGCGTATGAATAGTACTCATATTCAATTGTATAGACTGCTGATTATCAATATTACTATTTTTACTTAGGAATACTTTCTAATGAAGTTTTCTTATGTGTGTGGCATTTTATTTTTTTTATTTTTCTGATATGACCATGAGTACGACTAGTACTCATACTCATTTTGCCAAACAATTCAAAAGTACACTCTTGCGCAGCATACTTTTAAGTATATTATTGAGCTTATATAAACGTATTAATCATTATTCCTCATATTTGAATTAATTTCATCTTACGTACAAGTAGTACACTCATACTCATTCTGGCAAAGTACTCACACATACTCTTTAGAAAACAAACTTATGAGTAGAAAAAAGCTAAGATGTTTCATTGACTCTAACATGCTTCTCATTACTGTTGCTACTCATTGGCTGTTTGACAAACTACTCAAAAGTACGCTTTTGAGCAGCATACTTCTTTTCTGAGTACTACTCATACTCATTCTAACAAAGTACTTAAAAGTACGTTTTTACTTTTGGACAAGCTAACGTTAAGTTGTATATATATATTTTTGAATATTCATTTTGTTTTTGTTTTTTTTTTTTAAATATAATATATTTAAAGAATAAATGGCTGATCTTTTGTGATTATTTTGCTCATTCTGCTTTTTTTTTAATCAATGTAGGCCGTGCCACAATTTCATTTGCACTTGCATTTCCATTTGCATTTTCACCTGCTTGACACTTTTACAGCCTCTGTGTCTTGCCAGGCTTGACCTTGTTGCCGAAGCTGTGGCACCTGCCGCACACGTTTTAAATAAATGAACTGCAGATCAGGGCGATGCGAGCAGCAGCAGCAGCAACAATGGCAACAATGTGGCG